GAAGGAAGATAAAGTAAGGGCGTTAGAGCAATGATGATGACAAAGGTAAATTCTGTATGCTCGCTGACAGACTGGACAGTCCACCAGAATATGGCAAACTGAAACTGGAACCTGACAATTAGCACAGTGGAACTGGGCACCTCTCCATGAGATACCCATGAGTGAAATATATGCACCCAACATAAAGATGGGAAAGTGTAGACGCCCAACAATGACACCGATAAGACCAGGATCCTCAACTCGGCTTGATAGAGTGCAATTTGTTATGAATCAAGTTAGACCAAAGTTGTTGCCAACACTTGTGAAGGTGGCTAGAGATTACAGCAAAATAATCTGATAATGGAATACCTCCATATAAAACTGGAAGGTAGCATACCATTGATCGCACAACACTCTGCCTGCTTGTTGCCCTGAACATCAACATGCCCAGGTAACCAGCAGAAAACAATTTCTTTGTTTTTGCTAGAAATGTGGCACAACCGAAGTTGTATATGAAGAACTAGGGGATGAGGCGAATTAAGTTTTTTGATAACTTGCGAAGCACTAAAGGAGTCCAAGACTACCACAAACTATGAGGTAGGCCTGGACACAATATGGATAATCGCTATGAGAATTGCATAGTTCAGCCGTGAAGATGCTAGCCAAGTCTAATAAATGACCTCATACAACACTGTCTGGGAACACTACTGCAAACCTGACACTGTTAGAGGATTTAGAACCATCAGTGTCAATCGCAACAGCCCGAGAATGAGACTGGTCAAGAAAAAGGGAGCCAGAACCCACTGTAAGTATTTGAGCTTTCTTGCATGGCAGTGAGGAAGAACAGACACGAACTGTTGGAACCTCCCAGGGAAAAGAGAAAAGTTAGATGCTAGATGTACACATAAAGTGGGCAACTGAAGAGAAGTCAAGAGCGTGTGAAGATGAAGAGAAAGAGATGGAGTAAACAGGGGTGGCAAACAAATAATGGACCTCTACTAACTTGTTACTATCCCGAATGTAGGATTGTAAAACTCATGATTTTATTTTTCTTTTATTAACACATCGGCCATCTCCCACCAAAGCAGGGTGGCTCGAAAAAGAAAAACTTTATCATCATTCACTCCATCACTGTCTTGCCAGAGGCTTGCTTACACTACAGTTACATTAGGCTCTTGACGGGAGGAGCGAAAAGCACCTAGACAACGTAATCCCTGATGATAGATGGGATCAAGCTTAGAAAGAGTTCCGGGAGAGGCTGTAGAATGTATATGGTCGCCATAGTTTAGTTTCGATAAAATTAGGGCTGAATGCAGTTGAAGGAGAGTTAACGATTCACCCCCTATGAAAGACGAGTAAGGGTTTTAAAGACGTTCAGCCGGTTATGGCAAGTTGCTTTCAGAGAGGTAATAAGAGATTTACAGGACAGCCGGCAATCAAACAAAAGCCGAGAAATCTGACTGAGAAATCTGACTATCACATTCAGGGACATGAGAGCCATACAGATACAATGGAGTATCAGAAACAAAGGAAAGCATGGTGAAATTAATTCGGTGGATTTTAGCACCAGAAAATTTAAACCCATGAGTAGTGGACCAATGGGAAACACAGTCGACAGAATTCTAGAGTGAGGCTGCTACTAAGCAACAGTCAGCACCTGTCCAGTCTATAGCAAAGTCATCGACAAAGTGATGACCAAATATAAGATGGATGAACAGATGCCAGATCATTTATAGCAAGGAGAAAAAGTGGTGCTAAGGACACATCCATACGGGACACCTTCAACTTGGACAGTCCGGGAAAAGCAAATTATTAACTCAAACACAGTAATGTCTCTCAGATAGTAAGTTTTAAGGAAAAGTAGTAGATTGCCTTTGAGGCCTAAGGAATGAGCTTGGGTCAAATGTTATATCTCCAAGTAGTGTCATATGCTTTTTCATGATCAGAAAAGGCTACAGTAACTCAGTGGTTGCAACAAAGGCATTACAAACATAGGTATCTAAGCAGAGTTATTATTACAATCAAAAAGAAGTGCTAAACCTACTAGGGTCATACAGCGCTGGATCTATTATTATTTTTATTATCACAGGAGAGCTAAGCGGAGTAAGGGGTCAATTGTGGAGCAGCCCTTACGAAAGCCAAACTGACTAGTGGAAAGGCTATTGTGTCTAAATATCACACCAAATGTCTATTTACTAGACGTTCCATCAACTTGCAAACTGCCCTAGTAAGAGCCATCAACTTTTAAACTGCACTGTAAGAGCAATGGGACAATAGTGCGAGGTATCATGGCCCAAAGTACCTGGTTTATGAAAAGGCAGAACAACGGCAGTTTTCCACAGCTGGGGAAGAACCCCTTGCAACCAAATAAGATTAAATAAGATGGAAGAGGACTGCAAGGGCTGATGGATGTAAATGCTGAAGCATATGAATATGAATGTCATCAGGTTCAGCTGCAGATGATCAGCGAGCAGAAAGTGTTGACATTATAAGACTCTTCCCTGTTAGAAGAAAAGTCTAAAGACATTAACTCTCTGGCAGACTTGGAGTTAAGAAAAAGGGGCATAGATGGAGCCCCTAAGAGATATAAACAAGATTTCCAATTTCTATGGCAACTTCAAGAGGGATTGCTATGCTGATACTGGCAGCCCTAAGAACTGGAGCCAGGTCTGGAAAGTTTTGCTACTCAATTTCCATCATTTTTTTCCAAACTGCACTCAGAGGAAGTCAAAGTGACAGTAAAAACAATCTTGCCAACAAGTTCATTTAGCTTCTCAGATGGCACATCGTCAACCGCCCTCACCTGTTTAAAATCAAGGAATCGCTCTGTGGTCCTTTTATAACGATATCATCCCTATGCAGCACATTTCAAATGCACTGAATGAGCACAAGTAGGAGACCACTAAGGCACACTTTTCTGAGGGTGCCTACATGAGGTTTGAGGGATTGCATTCAAAGCTGCAGTTAAAACCAAAGACAAAAATAGTTGGAAATAAATGGTATAAAATACCGACACAATGGAAATATAAACACACATGCAGTATAATGTGAACCTTTATTGACTACGTTTCGCCCACACAGTGGGCTTTTTCAAGTCACAAACAGAACAGTTCTGTTTGTGACTTGAAAAAGCCCACTGTGTGGGCAAAACGTAGTCAATAAAGGTTCACATTATACTGCATATGTGTTTATATTTCCACAAAAATAGTTGTAATAGCTCAGCTCAGTAGCTGAGGATAAGGAGGATCTTCACTGAAAACAATCTGACATGAGTAAATAGCCCAAAATGCCTGTTCAAACTGCTAATGTGGGCTATGAGGTTGAGAATAAGTATGAGGAGGAGGATAGGAAAATGATCGCTGTCATGTAAATCAGGAAGCACTGTCCAGATGAAGTTGAGTGCAGTTGAGGAACAACAACTTGAGAGATCTGTGCAAGAGAGAGTTCAAGTGCAAGGGTCAAAATGAGTGGGAGTATATTATAATCAAAGAAAGCGCTAAACCGACAAGGGTCATGCAGCGCTGCGGGGTAGAAAATAGAGCCGATGCTATAAACAGCTAGGTGGAGAGGGAATCAGAGGTGAGGGGAGAAAGGGCCGGAAGGGATGCTAAGGGCACTGTGTCAAAGTTCGTACAATAAAGCAATTGCTGACAAAAAGTAAAAAAGGGATCGTAAATCAAAGGTAGGGCCATCTGCAAGGGAAGATAAGGTAAGAATGGCAGGGCGTCAGCTATCCACAAAACATGACAAACCTCACAGAGGAATAGGGTTTCGATCCATGAGATACCCATGGGCAAGGTGGGTATGGCCAATGCGGAGACAGGAGAGCAGTCTCCCAAGTACAGTAACAGTGGTAAGATGGCCACAAACCTAAAAGCAGTTTAATAGAGGGCAATTTGTTATGGTGCATGTCTGACCACCGTTGTTGCCAACGGCTGCGAAGACAGGCAGAGATGACTGTAAAATAATCCCTGAATGGAATACCTCAATAGGAAATCAGATCATGTACCGCTGACCGTGCAGCAGCATCCGCCTGTTTATTGCCTTGCACGTCAATGTGTCCAGGGACCCAACAGAAAATGACGTTTTTGTTATTGCTAGCAACGCAGCACAACCATAGTTAAATAAGAAGGACCACTGGATGAGGGGAATCAAATTGTTTAATGGCTTGTAAAGAGCTGAGGGAATCTGAAATTATCACAAACGTCAAAGGAGACATATATGTAATAAGGAGAAGTGCTATGAGGATGGCATACAACTCGGCGGTAAAAATACTAGCCGAGTCTAACAAATGACCTCGGACTTCATCATCAGGGAAGACTGCCATGAACCCAACACTGTCAGAAGATTTAGAACCATCTGTATAAACAATGGCATGAACGTGCGACCAGAAGTGATCGAAAAATGAGTGGGAGTACCCATATTTAAAACATGGAGAAATAAGAAGAGCCCTTTAACTGATCACTACAAGTCACAGTGAGACCCTCTCCAGAGGAAATGATGAGCATTAAAATCTCACAATAAGAGGAGAGGAGGTAGGGAAAAAATCAGAGATGCCACATCCAGAATAAATAATGGATGAGGAGAAAGATATAAAGAGCAGACTGTATACCACTTGTCCAAATAAATGCAGGCTGCAGTGTAATGCAGCGAAGTACAGAGGACCTGAGAATGTGGTATACCATGGAGCACGAGAAGTGCACTTTCATTAAGTCCCATCACAAAAAGGATCCAATGAATATAAGGAGATATAGCCTGAGATGGGACAGAAAACAGCAGAGTGCAATTTTGGTTCTTGCAAACAGACACAAACAGGGAAAAACTGGGAGAGCAATACCTGGAGCTCTCCCCGATTATCCGAGGCCTCGAATATTGGCATATGGCATAGCGTAGATGTGGAGGCTTAACTTGGACAGAATTAGGGCTGTATAAAGACTGAAAAGTATGTGTATGCCAAAGTATTGGTATCAGTATTATTTTTTTTTTTTCAAAGTAAAACAAGGTTAGGAAAAAATCTAATAGAAAAATCTTCATTTATTTACAATCACAGGGATGATCCATACATCCAATAAACATCCATGCTTGAATATATTTTTGTTTAATTTTTCATCTTGGTGGCCAGTTGATACAATTTTATTGTATGCAATTATAACCAAGTACAGAGCATCTGATGAGTGGGCAAGAATGTTTGTACAAAACATCCAATTAATCTCAATATAACCTGATGTCACAGATTTCAAAACATTCATAAAAATTAATGGATCATAAGCATTCAAAAATAATGAATTATAAAATATTCACTAACCTAGGGAATATAAAAAAAAAAAAGAAAAAAAAAAAGGAGGGGCCTTGAATAAATAGAAGGGTGGAAAGCAGGTACTGTTCACACATGCCTTGTTTCTTGAGAATACCCAGAACCCTGAACATTGTCAACACTAAGAAATTGCTGTGCATGTGTGGGTGTTGATACATAGCAAGCTCAGGACCAACTGATACCAATAATATCAAAAATATTTATCTTACTTGTCTAGCATTTACGAATGACAGTTGCCCCAGCACAATGGTAGAAAAATGCATACCTACAGTTCTTTCAACAGTTATCTCACCATTAGATGGTAATACATTTATTGTCTTCCATTACACACTTTTTGTCTACCACCCAAAATGGAATGGTTAATATTTTGAATGTGAAAAGCTCACATACACTGTGTATGTGTATTAGCCGACCTCACAGTGTGATATTATAATTACCTTTGTTCTGCATTTAATTTAACAACTCAAAATTATTAATGCAATACTGTAAAATAGCGCACAAAATATTTTAAAAAAATCAACCAAAAATATCTCATATTGAAGATTTTCTGAAAAGTTAATAAAATAATTCTTAATTAGATACTCAAGTTGGAAATTTATGTATAATGGAAGTCAAAAGTCAATTTTAAATAATTATTTGAACAAGCTCTGCAGAAGTCACATTTCTTATTTCACATTGCAAACTCCTACAAACTTTCACTCCACTTCTTTTAAACCTATATAACTTTAATCAACACTTTTGTGCTTCTCTTATCAAGAAACTTCAACATATGCAAAGGTCTTCAAATATTTTTTTAACTATATAACAAATATTTACAGTATAAGAAAAGAGTGCCCTCACTTTATTTTCAGAACCCTGAATGATATTGATGCTGGTGCTTTCTTGCTAGCATTAGTCAACCACACTGTATTAGGATTTGACAGTACCCAGCTTCTTAGCTTCTATTTCATATATTAATAACCGCCACATCTTCACCACAAACACTTCTGCTTCATCATCAAGAACCTGAAAAGAAAATGTGTGTATGTTTTATCTTTTAAAGTTTTTTCAACTGATATGTGACACTGAAAATTATAGTGATACCCTCAAAATTAGAATGTGTTACTAAGGGAGATAAATGAGGAGGAGGCAGTATTATCATAAAGACTTACGCAAACCACAGCAATATGAACAGGCATCAGAGCCTATTCATATCAAGCACAGCAATGCATCACACCCGAGTCCCTGCTTTCCCTATAACTTCTTCAGCCTTAGATAGGGTCGAGGAAAGTGTGGGGATATGTTATTAAGAACAAACTCCCATAACCAGAGTTATTCAGCTTGTCCTGCCAGCTCCTTGTTGAGCTGGATTAGTTTGTATGTGAATTTGTGACATGGAATAGATCCTAAATTCTTTTCTTATTTCTTGTTGCCTGCAGATGCCCTTTCCAGAGCTGTAAGCTTAATTTAGCTGCCAGCTCCTCATTGAGCTGTACTGGTTTGTTCATGAATTTGTGACATGGAATAGAACCTAAATTATTTTTTTTCTTGTTGCATGTAATGCCCTTTCCAGAGCTGTAAGCTTAATTTGGCTGTCACCTCTGTCAGAGTCTGGTGCATGTCAAAGAGGGTAGGGGGTCCTACTTTCTTGGCCCCCTGGGCCCTAATAGCTACCAGCTCCACTTCCCTTTTGTCTGTTTGTACAATGTCCCCAACAATGCTTGCTGCTCTGTTTTCCTTCAGAATAGAGATTATCCACCACCCATGAGAGAAGGATTACTCTCCAGTGGTTTGCATGAGAAGACCTAAACAATGCTTGTTTTCTTTCTATTACTGCTTCCCATGTTAGTTTGGATACTAATTATGAATGCCTCTCACTCTCTCTTACTGAGCCTTAATAAGGATGGTGTAATATAGTGAATGACTGATTTGCTCCTGTGACTGTTCTCCAGGATCTTCTTGGTTCAAGAAGGTGGGCATCCTTATCATATAAACTGTTGCTATTACAACATTCCCGACACGGTTGGATATTAAGTTTGATCTTGCCAAGCTTCACCTCTAATCCCTGGAGAGACTCCTACTGTGGTTTTTTTTTTTTTTTTTTTTTTTTCAACAAGTCGGCCATCTCCCACCGAGGCAGGGTGACCCAAAAAAGAAAGAAAATCCCCAAAAAGAAAATTACTTTCATCATCATTCAACACTTTCACCACACTCGCACATTATCACTGTTTTTGCAGAGGTGCTCAGAATACAACAGTCTAGAAGCATACACATATAAAGATACACAACATATCCCTCCAAACTGCCAATATCCCAAACCCCTCCTTTAAAGTGCAGGCATTGTACTTCCCATTTCCAGGACTCAAGTCCGACTATATGAAAATAACCGGTTTCCCTGAATCCCTTCACTAAATATTACCCTGCTCACACTCCAACAGATCGTCAGGTCCCACGTACCATTCGTCTCCATTCACTCCTATCTAACACGCTCACGCACGCTTGCTGGAAGTCCAAGCCCCTTACCCACAAAACCTCCTTTACCCCCTCTCTCCAACCCTTTCGAGGACGACCCCTACCCCGCCTTCCTTCCCCTATAGATTTATATGCTTTCCATGTCATTCTACTTTGATCCATTCTCTCTAAATGACCAAACCACCTCAACAACCCCTCCTCTGCCCTCTGACTAATACTTTTATTAACTCCACACCTTCTCCTAATTTCCACACTCCGAATTTTCTGCATAATATTTACACCACACATTGCCCTTAAACAGGACATCTCCACTGCCTCCAACCGTCTCCTCGCTGCTGCATTTACCACCAAAGCTTCACACCCATATAAGAGTGTTGGTACTACTATACTTTCATACATACCCTTCTTTGCCTCCATAGATAACGTTTTTTGACTCCACATATACCTCAACGCACCACTCACCTTTTTTCCCTCATCAATTCTATGATTAACCTCATCCTTCATAAATCCATCCGCTGACACGTCAACTCCCAAGTATCTGAAAACATTCACTTCTTCCATACTCCTCCTCCCCAATTTGATATCCAATTTTTCTTTATCCAAATCATTTGACACCCTCATCACCTTACTCTTTTCTATGTTCACTTTCAACTTTCTACCTTTACACACATTCCCAAACTCATCCACTAACCTTTGCAATTTTTTTTTAGAATCTCCCATAAGCACAGTATCATCAGCAAAAAGTAACTGTGTCAATTCCCATTTTGAATTTGATTCCCCATAATTTAATCCCACCCCTCTCCCAAACACCCTAGCATTTACTTCCTTTACAACCCCATCTATAAATATATTAAACAACCATGGTGACATTACACATCCCTGTCTAAGACCTACTTTTACCGGGAAGTAGTCTCCCTCTCTTCTACACACCCTAACCTGAGCCTCACTATCCTCATAAAAACTCTTTACAGCATTTAATAACTTACCACCTATTCCATATACTTGCAACATCTGCCACATTGCTCCTCTATCCACTCTATCATATGCCTTTTCTAATCCATAAATGCAATAAAAACTTCCCTATCTTTATCTAAATACTGTTCACATATATGCTTCAATGTAAACACCTGATCTACACATCCCCTACCCACTCTAAAACCTCCTTGCTCATCCGCAATCCTACATTCCGTCTTACCTCTAATTCTTTCAATTATAACCCTACCGTACACTTTTCCTGGTATACTCAGTAAGCTTATTCCTCTATAATTTTTACAGTCTCTTTTGTCCCCTTTCCCTTTATATAAAGGGACTATACATGCTCTCTGCCAATCCCTAGGTACCTTCCCCTCTTTCATACATTTATTAAACAAAAGTACCAACCACTCCAACACTATATCCCCCCCTGCTTTTAACATTTCTGTCATGATCCCATCAGTTCCAGCTGCTTTAACCCCCTTTCATTTTACGTAATGCCTCACGTACCTCCCCCACACTTACATTCTGCTCTTCTTCACTCCTAAAAGATGGTATACCTCCCTGACCAGTGCATGAAATTACTGCCTCTGTTTCTTCCTTAACATTTAAAAGTTCCTCAAAATATTCTTGCCATCTACCCAATACCTCCATCTCCCCATCTACTAACTCCCCTACTCTGTTTTTAACTGACAAATCCATATTTTCCCTAGGCTTTCTTAACTTGTTTAACTCACTCCAAAATTTTTTCTTATTTTCATTAAAATTTCTTGACAGTGCCTCTCCCACTCTATCATCTGCTCTCCTTTTGCACTCTCTCACCACTCTCTTACCTTTCTTTTACTCTCCATATACTCTGCTCTTCTTATAACACTTCTGCTTTGTAAAACCTCTCATAAGCTACCTTTTTCTCTTTTATCACACCCTTTACTTCATCATTCCACCAATCACTCCTCTTTCCTCCTGCCCCCACCCTCCTATAACCACAAACTTCTGCCCCACATTCTAATACTGCATTTTTAAAACTATTCCAACCCTCTTCAACCCCCCCACTACTCATCTTTGCACTAGCCCACCTTTCTGCCAATAGTCGCTTATATCTCACCCGAACTTCCTCCTCCCTTAGTTTATACACTTTCACCTCCCTCTTACTTGCTGTTGCCACCTTCCTCTTTTCCCATCTACCTCTTACTCTAACTGTAGCTACAACTAAATAATGATCCGATATATCAGTTGCCCCTCTATAAACATGTACATCCTGGAGCCTACCCATCAACCTTTTATCCACCAATACATAATCTAATAAACTACTTTCATTACGTGCTACATCATACCTTGTATATTTATTTATCCTCTTTTTCATAAAATATGTATTACTTATTACCAAATTTCTTTCTACACATAGCTCAATTAAAGGCTCCCCATTTACATTTACCCCTGGCACCCCAAATTTACCTACTACTCCTTCCATAACATTTTTACCCACTTTAGCATTGAAATCCCCAACCACCATTACTCTCACACTTGATTCAAAACTCCCCACGCATTCACTCAACATTTCCCAAAATCTCTCTCTCTCCTCTACACTTCTCTCTTCTCCAGGTGCATACACGCTTATTCGACATGAGACCGAGTCCACCACACAATTAGCTCTATGCCTGTCACTAGTACAGTGGTTCTTAACAAGGGAAGTTTGGCCCCCCAAGGGGGTAAGGGAGGGGAGTAATTTCCAGGGAAGTTGTGAACCCAGAGCAAAAATAAGGTATATATTGTGCATCTGCAATTTGCTCCATAAACAAAGTCTCTTGAATAATTAAAAATAATAAAGTTAAGAATGAAAACTAGTTCCTCAATTTTTCTATTTAAATAAAGAGGACTTTCAGACGTTTTACATTTAGAATTTTATATGAAGGAGGGAGGGCTTGGTGATGAGGACCAAAGGCCCTTCTCTAGCATGAAGGCAGTCTCCCTTCCACTGAAGGAATAAAATCATATAAAGAACACGAAGGGCAGAGTTGGATAGATGAAATGGAAAATTTTGCAAAATGACTGACAAACATACACCAAGTGATATAACCATTCATAATAGTTAGCAACAATAGTCTTCCATACAAAAAGCCTTGCATTTATTAGTTACATTTACATGTGTTGATCTGAAAAAGTGTACAGCAATTAGTCTGATTCCATTATTTGACTTTTTATATATAAACTCACCATTTGAACATCATTTAGTAGAGACTGAGGTTCAGAGCCCACGAGAACCTTAGAACAAATGAAATCTACTAGTGTGGGTTCCGGTTCTCCTATATATTCTATGATCTTCTTGTTAATCCATGGCCGAATTCTCTTCTCCATTAACACCTGCAATGTTGATCAAGCATTATTTACCCTATAATCATGACACTGTTTAATTTACATTAATTAACAATATTCCTAAAATGTGCTACTCATTAATTATCGCAGCCTTTCAGACGAGTGTCTTTGAATCGAGGATTTTCATTCTAACAACCAATTACCATGTGTCATAATCCTACATTATGGGTTATTTATTATTATTTATTAACACATCGGCCATTTCCCACCAAGGCAGGGTGGCCCAAAAAAGAAAAACTTTCACCATCTTTCAGAGGCACACTTACAGTACAGTTATAAAACTGCAACATTAACACCCCTTCCTTAAGAGTGCAGACACTGTACTTCCTATCTCCAGTACTCAAGTCCGGCCTGCCAGTTTCCCTGAGTCCCTTCATAAATGTTACCCTGCTCACACTCCAACAGCATGTCAAATCCTAAAAACCATTTGTCTCCATTCGCTCCTAACACACTTATGCATGCTTGCTGGAAGTCCAAGCCCCTAGCACACAAAACCTCCTTTACCCCCTCCCTCCAACCTTTCCTAGGCCGGCCTCTACCCCATCTTCCCTCCACTACAGATTTACACACTCTCAAAGTCATTCTATTTTGTTCCATCCTCTCTACATGTCCAAACCACCTCAACACCCCCTCCTCAGCCCTCTGGATAATAGTTTTGGTAATCCTGCACCTCCTAATCTCCAAACTACGAATTCTCTGTATTATATTCACACTACACATTGCCCTCAGACATGACATCTCCACTGCCTTAAGCCTTCTCCTTGTTGCAACATTCACCACCCATGCTTCACACCCATATAAGAGAGTTGGTATAACTATAATTTCATACATTCCCCTCTTTGCTTCTATGGACAAAGCTCTTTGTTTCCACAGACTCCTCAGTGCACTGCTCACCTTTTTCCCCTCATCAATTCTATAATTCCCCTCATCTTTCATAGACCCATCTGCTGACATGTCCACTCCTAAATATCTGAATACATTCACCTCCTCCATACTCTCTCCCTCCAACCTGATATCTAATCTTTCGTTATCTAATTTTTTATCCTCATCACCTTACTCTTCCCTATATTCACTTTCAATTTTCTTCTTTCACATACCTTACCAAACTCATCCACCAACCTCTGCAACTTCTCTTCAGAAACTCCCAAAAGCACAGTGTCATCAGCAAAGAGCAACTGTGACAACTCCCACTCTGTGTTAGATTCTTTATCTTTTAACCCCACACCTCTTGCCAACACCCAAGCACTCACTTTTCTTACAACGCCATCTATAAATATATTGAATAACCATGGTGACAAACATCCTTGTCTAAGGCCTACTTTTACTGGGAAATAATCTCCCTCTCTCCTATACACTAACCTGAGCCTCACTATCCTCGTAAAAACTTTTCACTTTCAATAACCTACCTCCTATTCCATACATTTGAAGCATCTGCCACCTTGCCCCTTTATCCACCCTGTCATATGCCTTTTCCAAATCAATAAATGCCACCAAAACATCTTCACCCTTATCTAAATATTGTTCACCTATATGTTTCATTGTTAACACTTGGTCTACATACCCTCTACCCATCCTAAAGCCTCTTTGTTCATCTGCTATCCTACTCTCCATCTTACTCTTAATTCTTTCAATAATAACTCTACCATACACTATACCAGGTATACTCAACAGACTTCTTCCCCAGTAATTTTTGCATTCTCTTATGTCTCCTTTGCCTTTATACAAAGGAACTACACAAGCTCTCTGCCAATCCCTAGGTACCTTACCCTCTTCTCTACATTAAATATGGGTTAATATGCAAATTTTCTACCATGTGATGCTTCATTTCTACTAGTATAATTTCTTGTGCAATATAAATTAACCCTATCTGACCAGTAAGGTTTACAGAATGTAGATTCCTATAATAAAGAATTAAGTGATGAAGACCCAATTGGGATTACTACAGCTGCCATGAGAATAATGAAACCGCCAGAAAATGAAAGCCAGATTGATTTGTCGAATCACGGCCTGCACAATGCCAATTCAGTTACCATACAATTTGCATTCTAACTCTAGTGATTATGCTAGAATTAATTTTAAATACAGTATACAGTACTATATTTAATTTAGATTTTACTTTCATATATATGCATATAAACTTATAGTCCAAGACAATGCATGCATTTAAGTATTATAATTTATATTAAGTACACTCATAATGGTTATAATAGCATATTATATTATTATTTTTTTTTTTAATGTCAGCCATCTCCCACCAAGACAGAGTGACCCAAAAAAGATATTATTATTATATAATGAGCTAGTAGACCAAGAGTATTCATTCTTAACCCTTAAACTGTCCAAATGTAGATCCATGTTCACTCACGTAGCGCTCCAAATATTTTGAAAAGAAAAAAATAAATAAAATGAAGAGCGCATTTTTCTACATTTTTTTTTTCTTCAACAAGTCGGCCGTCTCCCACCGAGGCAGGGTGACCCAAAAAGAAAGAAAATCCCCAAAAAGAAAATACTTTCATCATCATTCAACACTTTCACCTCACTCTCACAATCACTGTTTTTGCAGAGGTGCTCAGAACACAAGAGTTTAGAAGCATATACGTATAAAGATACACAACATATCCCTCCAAACTGCTAATATCCCGAACCCCTCCTTTAGAGTGCAGACATTGTACTTCCCATTTCCAGGATACAAGTCCGGCTATATAAAAATAACCGGTTTCCCTGAATCCCTTCACTAAATATTACCCTGCTCACACTCCAACAGATCGTCAGGTCCCAAATACCATTCGTCTCCATTCACTCCTATCGAACACGCTCATGCACACCTGCTGGAAGTCCAAGCCCCTCGCCCACAAAACCTCCCTTACCCCTTCCTTCCAACCTTTTCGAGGACGACCCCTACCCCGCCTTCCTTCCCCTAAAGATTTATATGCTCTCCATGTCATTCTACTTTGATCCATTCTCTCTAAATGACCAAACCACCTCAACAAACCCTCTTCAGCCCTCTGACTAATACTTTTATTAACTCCACACCTTCTCCTAATTTCCACACTTCGAATTTTCTGCATAATACTTACACCACACACTGCCCTTAGACAGGACATCTCCATTGCCTCCAACCGCCTCCTTGCTGCAGCATTTACAACCCAAGCTTCACACCCATATAAGTGTGTTGGTACTACTATACTTTCATACATTCCCTTCTTTGCCTCCATAGATAACGTTTTTTGCCTCCACATATATCTCAATGCACCACTCACCTTTTTTCCTTCATCAATTCTATGATTAACCTCATCCTTCATAAATCCATCCGCTGACACGTCAACTCCCAAATATCTGAAAACATTCACTTCTTCCATACTCCTCCTCCCCAATTTGATATCCAATTTTTCTTTATCTAAATCATTTGATACTCTCATCACCTTACTCTTTTCTATGTTCACTTTCAACTTTCTACCTTTACACACACTCCCAAATTCATCCACCAACCTTTGCAATTTTTCTTTAGAATCTCCCATAAGCACAATATCATCAGCAAAAATTAACTATGTCACTTCCCATTTTGTATTTAATTCCCCATAATTTAATCCCACCCATCTCCCGAACACCCTAGCATTTACTTCTTTTACAACCCCATCTATAAATATATTAAACAATCATGGTGACATTACACATCCCTAAGACCTACTTTTACCAGGAAGTAGTCTCCCTCTCTTCTACACACCCTAACCTGAGCCTCACTGTCCTCATAAAAACTCTTTACGGCATTTAGTAACTTACCACCTATCCCATATACTTGCAACATCTGCCACATTGCTTCCCTATCCACTATCATATGCCTTTTCTAAATCCATAAATGCAATAAAAACTTCCCTACCTTTATCTAAATACTGCTCACATATATGCTTCAATGTAAACACTTGATCTACACATCCCCTACCCACTCTAAAACCTCCTTGCTCATCTGCAATTCAACACTCTGTCTTACCACTAAGTCCTTCAATAATAACCCTACCATACACTTTTCCTGGTATACTCAGTAAACTTATATAAAGGGACTATACACGCTCTCCGCCAATCCCTAGGTACCTTTGCCAGCATAGTTGCTGATCCCTGTGTTGTATAGCATATCAGTATCATCCATGTGCTTTAGATAGGAGATCCCTAGGCCTGTGACTGTTTGTGTGACGTCACGGGATGCGCATGTGTACATTCGTACGTCTGCCACCTTCTCAGTCGGCGTTAGACATAGGCTAGGACAGGCTGAGGCTGGGCTCCATCTCCCATCATCACAGTCTGACAATATATCGTTACCATCCAACAAGTGTGTCTACCTTCAACCCTCGATATCTCCATTTAAGAACCCCTACGATAAATGGTGACAGCGGTGTGGGCGTAAAATTGATAATTAGGCCGATGTACGGAGATTTCTTTCGACCAGCAAGACGGCCATTTCGTGTCGCCAGTAGGCTGACCTAGCCAAGCCTGCTACCTCAAGTCAGCTACTCTCTCAAGTTCCTACCAGCTACTACATTATTCACGGGTCAGTCTCTTTGTATTAGTGTTTATCTACTTATTTGCATCACTCCCGAGGGGTTGACCCGAGTTTGCAAAATAAGCCAGCTTCCAGTCTGTGGTGGGGGAGTCAGAACAACAGAGTCCAGTCTAGCCTAGTCTACTCCATCCAGTTCTTTTGCCTGCCAAGCCAGCTTCCACCCCTGCTGTGCTCATCGTGAGAAGTTATCAAGCTATTCTGTGTGAAGGGTTAAGATAAGCCAGCTAGCAACTAACCCAGGTGTCTTACTCCAGTACTCAAGCAAGCCACGTGAGTAGTCTTCATCGCTTGTAATTCAAGCTCCAAGCAATTCTGAGTGCTCTTTTTCATCCCTGTGGTGTTGTGGTATTTCGTGGGTGTATTTTAAGCCAGCCGGCTTAGAATATCTTCGCGCCAGTGTGGGTGTCCGCAGTGAGGCTTAACGCCGTTCAAC